AATCAATATTTTCTTAATATATATATGTATATTTTTTTTCATTTTAATTTTAAAATTGTAATTTGTTTGCCATTTTATGTCTACAGCTGCAGCACATATAATTTTGATTAATTTTTCATTTATTTGTAGTTTTAATTACTTTAGTAGGCTACTTCAAGTTCAACAAAATGAAAATGAGAACTGTTTCCTTTCAGTTACTTTTATTAGCTAAATTTCAAGTAACAAAAATGTTTTTTTTTATTATTTTAGTTTTAGTTATAATGAGTCCCAAACACCAGCAGAAGAGGGAGACAGAGAGAACAGCACATGCTCACCATGAATACTAACTGATTACTAATTATTAATATGAGGACTTTTCGCATTGTTTTTTGATGAACATAGTGCATCATCTTTGCATATACAAATTTTGCATATCATGCACCCTCTACATTCTAAAGTATTAAAAGTAGTATGGTAGTTTGTCATTTTCATATATAGGCCTACATATGATCTTGTTGGTTTTATCAATATCATTAACAAACATTATATATTACATTTCATATAAATATATGACTGGATGTTTAACAACATGTGACTATTTTAATATATATTAAAGGCATAGTTCACCCCAAAATGAAATTTTGTCAAAAATTAACTTGCGCTCAGGCCATCCAAGAAAGGAATGTTATGGATTATGGACTCATATTTTAGATGAAAACACCATAATGATGGATTTGTTACTTACAAGCTTTTGTCTTCTCCAGATGTTAACTGATGGACTGGAGTGCTGTGGATTACTTGTGGATTATTGTGATGTTTTTATCAGCTGTTTGGACTCTCATTCTGACGGCACCCATTCACTGCAGAGCATCCATTGCTGAGACAGTGATGCAATGCTACATTTCTCCAAATCTGATGAAGAAACAAACTCATCTACATCTTGGATGACCTGAGGGTGAGCACATTTTCAGCAAATCTTCATTTTTGTGTAAACTACTCCTTACTGTTAAGCATCATCTAATATGACACTGTTTGTTAATGCCATTAATGTTTAGCTCTTATAAAGTGTTACTAATATATTCCTAACATAAATAAGGAAGCAGATGTTAGAATTTATTCGAGTGCATGTGAGATTTTTGCACATTTTTTAATCACTGTCCAATTACTCTTGTTGACAAGAACTTAAAAGTCCCAATTACTGTCTGTTGTCTGAACGCTGAATGTTTCTGCATCATTTCAGAAACGCCATGTACTGAGACGTAAGGAGGAAAAAACACTGAACCGTGTCATTATGAGAGAGCGAAAGGATCTTTACTAATTACTTGGAAAGATGTAGCTATAATACTTCTGACTTCTAGCATGCTGCTTTATATTCATAGATTCACAAACACAATCATACAAAGTATAGTAGGAAGTCGTGCAGGTATTAGGAAGTGTAAAACCAAAAATGGCTGAAGAACAAAACTAAACACAAAATGATTGTTCGACTTTTATTTTCATTCAATGGACTAAACCACAAAAACGGAAAAAAACTAAAGCAAAAAGTCAAGTTTCTGTTTTTCAGTTAAGATGCATAAATAGTACAACAACTAGCAGGTTTCCATGTTCAATAAAACCAGGATCTTATAGTGTCTATGCAGTGAACTAAAGGAATAGTTCACCCAAAATCAGCATTTACTCACCCAAATGTTGTTCCATACAGAAAAAAAATACATACATATATAAATATACATATATATATATGGCCAAAATATATTTTAAATACATGCTAAATATGTTGTAAACAGTGAAAATCAATTAAATATATTTTTCAAATTACTAGATGCAAGAAGAATTGTCGCTGGAATGGCGAAATGACTGCTGCGTATATAGGCTCATAATGATGATTGATGGGACTGAATGATTAGGCTCCTGCCGAACCTACGTTTAGAAATTCATATATTTTGTATATACAGTATATTTATATTTTTTAAATATATTTTCAAAAATATGGAATTAATTACCAAAGAATATATGGTCAGAAAATATATTTACTTAAATATATATTGAAACATATTTTAGCAAATATATTTTTTGTATTTGTATTGTCAAAATATATTTGAAAAAATAAATAAAAATAAATCAGATTAGCTAAACATGTATTGTGCACAGGTTTGAAACAACACGAGTGTGAGTAAATGATGCCAGAATGATTAGTTTGGGTGAACTAGTCCTCTAAACACCTTCAGGAAGGTTTACAGAGAAATGACACAGCTGTACATCTTCATTAAATGTCTATTCTATTCACACTCGACTCGAATATTTCAAACTTCTCTTGAGAAATAATCTGTGATCGACCTGTTCCTTGCAAATCAACCGACACTCTAAAACATCTCCTATCGGCATGCAGCTTCATGTTCCAGTATCCAGAGAAGTAAAGGTGACTTTAAAGGTGTCAGACTCAAGTAGCAGATCATTGTGCTAGTGTTATCTTAATTATTTACAAGAACACATGAATTCTTGTTTTCCTTCATGTTGTTTTGCTCTGAGATTTGCTGTATCTGCATCAAAGCTACTGGCTTCAAAAGCTTCGTAACGGAATGGAGCAAATACGCTTTGATTTTCTGTACATGCGAGGAATATTACACGCATGCCTGTTAGCGTCGAGTTGAGCATGATTTAGAGCTGAAGATTCAGATCCTTTCCCTTCATGAGTGTGAATCTGAACTGAATCGAATGCTGAATTGAGAATCTACTGAATTGCAACTCCTAAGAAATTTAATACAGAGGAATTTAATTAAAGCTCGAAACAACATAAGCTCTAAAACATCAGTATTTACAGCATTACTTTTGGCTAATTATGTATATTTACATTTTTTTCCTTAACTGTTCAGACACATGTGACCCTGGAGCACAAAACCAGTCATAAGGGTCCATTTTTTGAAATTGAGATTTATACATCATCTGAAAGCTGAATAAATAATCTTTCCATTGATGTATGGTTTGTTAGGATAGGACAATATTTGGCCGAGATACAACTATTTGAAAATCTGGAATCTGAGGGTGCAAAAAAATCTAAATATTGAGAAAATCATCTTTAAAGTTGTTCAAATGAAGTTCTTAGCAATGCATATTACTGATCAAAAATTTAGTTTTGATATATTGACGGTAGGAAATTTACAAAATATCTTCATGGAACATGATCTTTACTTAATATCCTAATGATTTTTGACATAAAAGAAAAATGTATAATTTTGACCCACACAATGTATTTTTGGCTATTGCTACAAATATACCCCAGCGACTTAAGACTGCTTTTGTGCTCCAGGGACACATATTTTGCTAAACTGAGTTAAAATTTTCTAAACAATTAAAAAATGTATCACAAAATTGTCCATCAGACAAATTAAAAAGAATTCTTAAATATCTTAAAAAGAATAAAAAATAAACATTAGCATCAAAAAAATGAATCTTCAGATATTATATATTCAGTGAAATTAAGTGTTCATCCACTATAGCCCAGAAAAGGAAAAGTAGCCTAAGAAGAATGAAAATAAATGATAAAATAAAATAAATAGATTTTATTTTAAATAACTCAATAATTAACTATAATAAAATAACGAAATAAATTATTTAAAATACTTTTACAACATTTATATGGATTTCTTTACATCTTCTCTGAGTTCAAAATTTAAACAACTCAAGAATTAAATATAATGAAATAAATTATTTAAAATACTTCTACCGCATCTATATGAATTTCTTTAAATGTTCTCTGAATTTAAACATTTCTGCTGCCTGTTTGCAAATTTAATTCAAATAAAAAAAAAAATTGAACTGGAATGTAAAAGCATCTGAATTCAGTTCTGAATGATGCACAACCCTGTGTAACGTGTTTTGTTTTCAGTGAACTATCGGACATCAGACGTTACTCTATAAAATGCAACACAAAAACGGTGTGTGTGTGTCACACGTACAGATGATTCATCTGATTTTTTTTAGGTCTAGTTATTAATTCAAAGACACACTGGGGTGATGTTTCAGATCGGGGTTCAGCGGTGGGCGGTGAAGGGTGTTTTCTTGCTGCTGTTAGTTGTTTGTCATGATCCACCAGGATGCTGTGAGAAACAAATAGGCAGATATTAGAGAGATGAAGCATCATAACTCCTCATTAAAGATCACCAGCCAGTGCTTTTCGGCTCCAGGGTTCGTGTTTAATTCCTTCTGCCTACAGGCTGAGACAGACGCATTCGGCTTTAAACAAGCAAACTAATAAATGACGCACGCTCTTACCTGGCATGAGCATCGTGGAGACGATCTCTGGATCCTCCAGCATGTCTATGATGCAGCGCTGGAACATCTTACTGGCGTCAGACTGCAAATAACTGCAGAGAGAGACGACAGACGTCAGGAGAAACAATCCAGCTCACATTATGAGATAATATAATCAACAACAGCCAGCTCTTTCAGCACTCGAGAGACTTAGTTGAGTTCTGAGGCACATCTAGTTCACCCAGAAATGAAAATGTGAAAGATTTGTTTGTTTCTTCGTCAGATTTGGAGAAATGTAGCATTGCATCACTGTCTCAGCAATAGATGCTCTGCAGTGAATGGGTGCCGTCAGAATGAGAGTCCAAACAGCTGATAAAAACATCACAAAAACATCCACACCACTCCAGTCCATCAGTTAACATCTTGAGTGTTTGTAAGAAACAAATCTATCATTAAGACATTTTTAACTTTGAACCATTGCTTTTGGCTAAAATACGAGTTCATAATCCATAATAATGCTTCCTCCAGTGAAAAAGTGCATCTCCTGTTGTCTCTCACATCAAAATCCAAACACATATTTGTTTAGAGCTGTTTTAGCTTGTAAACGGTGCTTGATCTGTGCAGATTTCTCTCCTGATTCAGACAAGATGAGTTTTTAAGCGTTATTATGGATTTTTGACTCATATTTTAACCAGAAGCAATGGCTTGAAGTTAAAAAACCTCTTAATGATGGATTTTTTTCAATCACATAACATTTGTCTTCTCCAGATGTTAACTGATGGACTGGAGTGCTGTGGATTACTTGTGGATTATTGTGATGTTTTTATCAGCTGTTTGGACTCTC